TTAATAAATAAATGCCTCTATGTAGTGAATTGAAAATTTCACAGTTTGACTCTTATAAGGTATTTTTATTCTCCAAAATTTTAAGGGCATCTTATTGGAGTACCAGGCTTTTAACTACAAGATACACAACCTAAGGGAGCAAGTTAGAAAAAATTTTGAAACAGGGATAATAGTGCTTATCTTTTAAAAACTATTTGAAAACACAATTTGTATTCCTACACAATGGGGCAAACGAACATAACAACAAAAATACATATACATCTTTTGTATCTCCTTTTCTCATGATTTTATTTATGAAAATAAACCCATTGTTATGAAACATAATAGCACTAAAATTTTGCTATTGCAAGGGCTTTTAGATAATCAGAGATTTTGTTTCTAGTAAGCATTCTCATATTTTGGCTAGAAAGCATTTATTTCATCTCATTTAAAATGCAAGCAAGTACATTTTAATTTTATTTTGCTTATTAGTGAGAATATTCAATGCTGGTAAGCTTTTTGGTTATACAGATATTGATTTGGAATTAGCCCTTGTCCTGTAACTGTCATTATTGCCTGTAAATGTTAGAGATTTGTTTATAAATATTATGTGTAAATAATTGGTTCACTGGTAATGATTCAGAAAGTGTCATTTCTGTTTACTTGCATGCTTCATTAAATAAACTTATTAGGCTGGTGTGTAAAGTTCCCTTTGAAACTAATGACTGACTTCAACTTTAATCTCAACTTTGTTTCAGATAATTCAGATAGTCAGCGCTGCAGACCGAGATCTTTCACCTGCTGGGCAGCAATTCTCCTTTAGATTATCACCTGAGGCTGCCATCAAACCAAATTTTACAGTTCGTGACTTCAGAAGTAAGTATAACCACAGAAAGATTTACCTCTTATCATGTAACTTTGTAAACAGGCACAAAGGGAGGAATCAATGCTTTTCACGGAAGCACTCAGTCTCATAAAACATGGATATCCTTATATGACAAATGAAAAATTCTACAGCTACCAGAAAATTAAATACTTTATGTATTAACAGAGTATCTACTAAGGCAGGTTACTTCTATTATAAATGTGGACAATGAGTCAAGCAAATAAAAACTATCTGGCAAATTGAATGTTTTCCCTGTTTTAAATATATCATTCCCCCTGCCATGCACATTACTTGTATTATTATATACAAATAGATAACTAGTAACTGTCTTCCTAAACAGCACAGGTTAAAAATGCAAGTATTAAAAATTAGAATGATATAAGTTCTCATTCCCATTCCATACTGCTGAAATGATAGACTCTTTCTATATAAAATTATACTAAATAATGGCAAACTCATAGTATTTGTATTAAATATAATTCTATGTGCATAAGCTTTAACACAATGCCTAAAATAAGTTACTGTCAAGATAATTTTATCTACCACCTCTGCCATCATGTTTACACTACTATTAATACTACTACTATTACTGCTATGACTACGACTACTACTACTACTACTAATACTATTGCATCTGCTATCATTACAACCACTACAAAAATATAAAGGATTCTTGTATCTGGACAAAATTGGGAAAAGTTTGTTGGGTCCTTGGAGGCTCTTATTTGAAAACATGTCTGTTGGGCTTTTTGTGTCCTATTGGGTCACACTTATGCACAAAACATAACCCTAAACTGTTCCTTAAGTTATATGTGGTATATGAACATTTTCTGCTTTTGATCCTAGACATTTTGCCCTGACATAAAAGCTATGTATAGGAACTGTCTATCTCTTTTGGCTTATGCTTGAATATCTATCTATCTATCTATCT